TCCTGCTGCCAATTAATTTCCATGCTTCTGAACAGCTGTCATTTGTGGTGTTTTCCCTGAAAACTGCACACATTCTTAGTAAAACCCATGAGTAGAAAAGAAGTGACCAGAACATTTGCTTTTGATCTTTACTACATACATATACTTTTTAAAAGCTGGCTAGCTTGCCTTAATCCTCAAGGAGGTCTGAGAAAGTCATTTAAACTGATTTTTATCCTGTATTTATGAAGATAATGGGAACATAGAAACTAGGATAATTATATATATTTGGTTACGTGCATCATATAATTGTCTTGGATGTCTATATATAGAATTTGTCTTACCAAGGGGGCTTCTTGGATCCCTTTAAAGAGTCTGCTGGACTTAATTTAAGCAGACTTATTGGTGAAAAAAAATGGTTGTTCATAAAATGTTTCTCATTTGTACACGTTTGAAGGGGCCATATTTATTTGGGAGTTTTTAACATTTTATGAGAGTTGCAGTTTTTCAGGACATCTTTGCAAACACTTCTGGCCCGAGGACACCGAGGGCAGGGTCGTTTTCGTACACAGGACCTTATTTTCTGTAGCTCCTTCCTGACATTAGTCTGCCAAAACCAGAATTTGTTGACCTGCAGGCCATTCTATAAAGCTTCTCTTTTCAAGTTTTCATGCCCAAGCAGGTAGGCTCTGTGTTTGCCGCTTTTTGAGATATTTAAAGCGATTTAAACATGCTTAACTCTGTATTTTTAAAGTAATAAGCCTAATACCCTGAGGCGAAATGGTACTGGGCACAAATGTCAAAAAATGTGATGGTGATAATAACTCAGCAGCAACAAGACTGCTTTTATGCCTAGAAACAGAAGAACCGTACATTTAAAAATTTGTGGTTGGTTGTCAAATATCTTTTTTTCCTCCCTTTTAGACTGTGTCTGGACGTTTTCCTGGGCTTAGTTGCCTTCCTTGTGTTCTAGCTATGGAAGGGGGATGTGGTGTCTTCCACTGCCAGTTTGAGTTGGGGGGGGGGCTACGTGGTGGCGCACTGTTTTTCCAAACTGACTTAAATTGATTCCACTTGCTTGGCTTGACTCTTGGGATCCCAACACCTTGAGCCACATGCAGCTGAGTGGGGTTTATGACTCAGCTGGCTACTGGAGTCCTGCTGCTTTATTTATGGTCAAGGCTTTGCTTGATGTTCTGTAAAGCAAAGCTGGAACAAAACGACAGTCTTGTAGGTCAGCTCTGTACCCTACACAAAAATAGAGAAACCCCAAGGCTAAGAGGAGGCCTCCAAAAAGTCTTCGACACTGAAACTTACCATTGTCCTGTTAGTTTAGTATGCTGAGAGATCAAAGGATTACTCAGTAAACTAAATGCTTTTTTTGCATTTATAAACGTGTATGCAAGATCAAAATTCCTTTATTTTCACTGTATTTTAAATATTACATCTCATAGTATGTATGATATTTTTACTGAATTTTAAATATTACATTTCATAGTTTGTATGAGTAAGCTTAAAACTCTCTTGTCTGATTCCGTTTTTGACCCTGATTCAGGTATTTCGGTGAAGTGGGAAAAAAATACATTTGTACAAATCAATTCAGAAGAAGATAAATAATGCACATACAACGTTTTAGAGTTTGCAATGCTTTTCAAACATAGCAGCAGCTAGGACATTTATCAGTACTGCCCTTCATGATTTTTGTCACCTTCTACTAAAACAGGAGCCATTACTTATCGACTCGCTACTTTTCTAAATCACTGTTCCTGGGGAGAGATGTTTTCATTCTATTCTGATTCTGAGAAAAATCACTTGTTTGCCTTTAAGACACTCTATTGACAGTTCCATTTTCATACCTCTCTCATTTGGTACACCCCGGCTTTGCTTTGGTTTCCTTTTATTTTTGCCTTATGTGAAGACTGACTCTGCCTTATCAGGACTGTGGGGTGTATTTCTTGGATTCGGCACTAAGATGTCTATATGAAGTTATGAATGCATTTTAAATGACTCTGTAATGTATGGGCAGCTGACTTCCTTGATACAATTAATACTCTGCCATTTTCATCATGCCCGCCTATGTTCTCAGTGTCTCAGCCAAGGATTGACTACAAGTCTAATTTCCTAGTATTGAGAAATACATGAAAGGAGCTCATCATCATGCTTACACTCTTTGTTATAATAGCAATAATGTTAATGGAATAATATCCTGGAACGAAATTTATGACAGTTGCTTAAAAATGAATGCCTCAGTCTTACCTCTGTATGTGTTTATGGTAAATGCATTGCTTCACCATTTGTCTTTCAGCAATTCACAATTACACGTCACGGGGCATAATTAGGTTGGCAGAACTACCTTGCTGACATCCAGATACATTCTTTTTTATTCCCCTTGTATTTGAATTTCAAGAATCTCCTGGAAATTATTTCAGAGTAGTTTCCTATTTAGAGCATGGAGTGAAAAAGCCATATGCCCTGTAGCTCTGCTTCCCACCTCAACTATTTGTGTGTAGCATCAAGCCTGGCCCCACTGGGAAAATTGGGGTGCAAAATGGCTGATGATAGGTCACAACTTCTGCTTTGATCTTTGTTCTACTGGTTCTATACCAGTTCGTCTTGTTCTTTTGTTCATTGTTTATTTATTCATTTTTGAAGTTAAAAAAAATTGCCAACTTATGTGTGTGCTCACCGGAAAGCACCTGCCATGGGGCATGGTCACACCACAATCCCTTCTCCTCCATTTCTTCCTCCTTTGGGATTTTGGTCACTCATGCACACGTACCTGCATGTTTTTTCAAGCTTCCAGATCCAGGACTCAAATCGCACATTTGGCCATGTGAGAGCCACCATGCCACCAGCTGACCCTCTTGAAATGTTTTTTTTCAAGTTTACTTTTTCCACGAGTGAAAGAGACAAGGGCAGACAGACCGTGAGACAGCACACTGACAGGGTCTCAATGCTGTGATCCATTTCCAGCCTTGCTCAGCCTGGAGCATGTACATATGCATGTCCAATGTACTCAGGGAAGTCTTTGGAAGTGAACTGGCAACCTTCCCACGTGAGTCAGCCTCACAGAGCATCATGCTGCAGAGTGTCATGGCTTGTCTGATTCTCCATTCTTGTAGTAACTTTCTGTGGAACAAATTGTTGTGCCAGGTAATACTGAAAATTCTGAGCCTATGATGGTGAACAAGATTGATCAGGTCTCTGTCCATGAGGACAGTCTGTTCCGGGGAGAAAAAGTTACATGAAAACAAGTAATTAAGGTGTGTTATGGCAAAAATAAAACCAAGTTAGTGTTAGTGTGGGAGAATAGTTAGCGTTGTTAGGATGAGAGGGAAAGACTTCCTCAAAGAATGACATTTGGGATGAGACGGCAGAACAGAAAGGAGCCAACATTGTAACCTGGGGGAAAAGCAACACAGATGAAGTCCAAAGGCCCCAAGGTAGAAGCCATCTTAATGCATCTGAAAAAGAAGGCAAGTATGACTAGAGTACTGAGCTTTTAAAATGTCTTTCCTTAGTCGCCTTTGTAAATCCACTTTGGGTACCAGGAGAGCCCATGGTCCCTCAGGGCTTTGGTCATCCAAGCTACCTTTATATCCATAAGAGGAAGAGCAAGAGGGCCATCAAGAAATGGCAGAGGGCAAGACTGGACAGGGGTGCAGCGGGTCATCACAACGCTGCAAGGCTGCCCGGGTGGAGAGGTTCTGCTTTGTGTCTGGAGACCTCCCTGAGTATGGTGGGCACATGCATGCCTATGATATGGAACTGGCTGTGGTTGGGCGTGTGGTCCCTCATTCCTTCTCTCCTGAGAAAGAGCAAGAGAGAGAAAGAAAAGAGGGAAGGGAGGGAGAGGAGGCAGAGAAAGAGAAGAAAAGACATGGTAGAGGTTGAGTTGGGGTTGATTATTTTAGGGAGTCAAGGGTTGTTGGGAGAGAGCCTTAAGAGAGGCTTGTTTTCTTCAGATCTCAAGTACCATACTGTCTGATGACTGGCTAGCTAGAACTGACCAGCTTAACAGCTGTGGTCTTTGAGCAGAATTCATTGCTGGAGCTGTCAGGGCACCTGGCACCCAGA